CTAAGAAGAAAACCACTCTCCTCCTGGATAGGATAAAGTTTAACCAAAGTTAGGGTCTTCTGAAGAGAATTTTAATCATTGGAAATGTATTTATAAAGCAATAGTTGTGAATGTTTTCCTGTAATATGTTTGTTTTATAACACATAGACGGTTAATTTTTTATAGAAAGATGTTTACTGTTGATATATATTAATAAAAATTAAGACTTAGTATTCTGAAAAGGATTTTTGTTTTGCAAAATAAATATCTTAGAGTGCCTTTTCCACTTATGACTGGAAGATACAATGAGGAAAGAGAGGAGGTTGATAAACTTCAGAAAAAGTGAAGTAGTTGACCTGAGGAAATGTATCTAAACTCAAACTATACCTATAAAAGGAGGATGTTTTCATGAAGTAGCTTTGGTTTTCCCCTGGCAGGACTGTCTTATTCCACTCTTCAGTGAAGCTTTACGTTCATGTAAACAGCATGATGTGAGGCCATGGATGCAGGCTTTACGATATACCATGTACCAGAGTCAGTTGTTGGAGAAAATAAAAGGTAACAGGTTTTTTGGGGGCAGGGAAAAAACCACAAATATACAAGTTTACAGTTTTAATGTATAGATCCTTGAGTTTTGACATTTTACGTTTATCTCTACAAATACATCAAGTCTTGTAGAATTATTTACTTACTCCAAAAAGCTCCTGTGGGCCCTTTTTATTGTCATCTCACTCACCTTCCCATCTGAGGCAGCCTTTCATTTGCTTTCTGTCACTGTAGGGAATCATATGGTGTATGCTCTTAGGTTTGGCTTCTCATACTCAGCATTTTATTTTATTTGTTTTTTCAAGCATTTATTTATGCATACAAGAACTGGAGTCTAGGCCAGAGGTATGGGGGTGAGAGGATTCACCAGACAGAGTGGGGAGCAGAACAGGTGGATCTACTGAAATACACAGCTGAGGGGAGCAGCAGGTGAGACAAGACAGGTCTGCTGTGCCATGTGGGTCAGCTATTTGACTGGGGATTGAACTCGTGCTGCAGACATGACTGATGGCTTGATAGTGCTGAGACTTAACCCTATGCACCACCGGGAAGGCACTCAGCATTTTATTTTTAAAGTTCATTTACATTGCATGTATGGCTTGTGGTGATCTTCTTACAGTTGAGTAGTATCTATTGTAAGGATGTATCATAGCTTATGTTTTGAACCTTTGAAGGATATCTGGGTTGTTTTCAAATTTGGACTGTTAATGTGAAAAGCTACTGTGAAATATAATAAATAAAGTCTTTGGTTGGATGTATACTTTATATTTCTCTTAAATAAGTGCCTGGAAGTGCAGATCTTTGGTCATATGATTTAAATTTCAAGACATTTTGGTAGTTTTATAAATAGCTGTACATTTTACATCCCTCCTGTCATTACATCTTGGGTATTGTTGGCCTTTACTTTTAGTTAGTGGAATACACATAAGTACAGTTTATCTTTATGACTTTATTTCATTTTCCCGATGTTGGCACCTTTGTGTTTGCATTGTGGCTGTTATAGATCTTACTTTGTACAGTGTCCATTAAAATGTCCCTTTTTAATAAAACAGACATACTTTTTTTCAGAATACAGATTCTTTTTTAGAAATAAACTAAAAATTACTTCTGTGAATGTTGAAATTTTTAAAGCCACTCCCAATGACTAGGGAATTAGTGATTGTATAAATACTTAATGTCACAGATATCTGTCACATCTGTCATGTTAAAGGGATACTAGCTAGCATTTGGCTTTATTCATTTAAAATAGAGAGTTTAGTAGAATTTTGTAGAATTTTAGTCAGAAACATGGTAGATGGAGTAGAGTTAGTGATTTTTGAGTATTAAATATCAACTAAGATAATGTTGAAATGGATTTGCACAACATGGTCTGGCAGCTATGACCCACTTGCATGCTCATTGTCATGTAGACCTGAATTTGGATGATAACCCCAACACTTCCAAATTGAGGTACCTTAGGATAGTTACTGAACTTCAGTTAAGTGGATTGTTTCATTCATGAGACTCGTGAAAGGCTTACAGGAGACAAGACAAGACCTATAAAAGCCCTACTTAAGAGCATGGTTTATATTATAACTTCAGTTATCATCTCCTTCCATCCCTTCCCATATCAGGCAACTTTTAAAATAGGCATGAAAAAAATCAGAAATATATATGGAGATAGGACTCCACTCCCTCCTGACTTGTCTGTTTTTATTCAGCAAGTGTTTATCAAATATGTGCTTTGTGCTAGGTACTTTGCTTGAAGGTGGGATATAATGGTGAACAACACATGCTTCTCTTCTGCATCCCTAGGACTGAAGGATTTCTAGTGTCTAGTAGGGAAAACTGACATCAGACAAGGAAGAGCAGTATGGTGTGCTGAATGGAAGTGCACATGTGCTAAAAGAGCACATGGCTGGAACACCTAGCTTAATCCTGGGAGTCAGAAAAGGACCAGAGGGAGGTAACATGAGAAAGAATGCAGACTGCTTTGAGTAGAAAAGCAACTGGAAATCATGAAAGATTGTAGAGGATCAAATGACCTAAGGAAGAGTGAAGCTGGATGTGATTGAGATTGGAATGGAATGTGAGGCATCAGTCAGTGCCTAAAGGAAACCATCAAAGGAAACTGAAATGTTTAGATTTACTTCAGTGTAAGGTCACTTCAGTTTCACATTGGAGAATCGATTAGAGGAAGACAAGACAAGTCAGAGGAACCAGTTAGACTGAAACCCTTCATAAAGGTAATCAGTGTGGTGGCAGTAGGGACAGAAGGCCGTATGTGATGGGAGTTACAGCGAAATCTAAGGTGATTGCCAGGCACCTGCTCAGGTACCAGGTTGATCATATGCTTTTCCTTGAGGAAGGGAGGAAAGGGTCTGTGGGAGGTTCAAAAATAAACTCCTCGTGGCACAGATTAAAGTGGCCTTCAAATGCCTGCATGTAGGAGACTGGTAGGCAGATGTGCCTCAGATGTCAGGTCTGTGCTCAAGATTAAGACTCAAGAGTCAGCAGCATTTGTATGGGAATTGAAGCCACAGGAGCAGATGATACTGTCCGGGGCGAGTATGCAAAGTGTGAGAAGAAGAGAGTGCCTGGGAATGACCCCGAGGAGCACCAGTTTTGGTGGAAGGGTAGTGGGCAGGAGGGAGAATGAAGAGGAGTCTTCAGGAAGGTAGGAATAAATCAGGAGAGAATGGCGTGGTAGACGGGCATCGGGCACTTACAGAAGAAGGGGGGCTAGGCTAGTCTCTTCCTCATTCCCCACCTTTTGGCCTGAGTGCTTGACTGCAAAGATTCAGAATGGTTTTTAATTTTTGCGTACATTTATTCAACAAACATTTACAGATTTATTTTTGTATGCCCTATGTACAGTAGTAGCTGAATGATCTTTATTTTGGAGGTGGTGAAAGGAAATAGTTGGGGGAAGAGCTCTTTGGCCACATTCTATGCAATCTGGACTTAGATCAGGGACTAATAAATGTTTTTTTCTTTCTAGAACAAACAGTTCCAATTAGAAGCCATCTCATGGAATTAGGCCTGACAGCAGCAAAATTTGCTAGAAAACGTGGGAATGTGTCACTTGCAACAAGACTTCTGGCACAGTGTAGTGAGGTTCAGCTGGGAAAGACAACCACAGCACAGGATTTAGTCCAGCATTTTAAAAAACTATCAACTCAGAGTCAAGTGGATGAAAAATGGGGGCCTGAACTTGATATTGAAAAGACCAAATTGCTATATACAGCAGGTTAGTGAAATGAATTTTGATTAATACACTGCTATACTAAAAATTATGTGTATGAACTTTACTGTGTCTGGTATAAGACAATAAATAGGAAAGTTGTTTTATTCCCCCTGCTCTTGCACATTTGAATTTTGAAAAAGAAATTATGTGTACTTGTCTGATCTCTGTAGTTTATTGCTTCTAAAAATAATTTTATCACCATTTATTAAAGTAACAAAGGTCTCCAGAGGTCTTTATCACTGAATTTACTTGTTTTCAAAAATTGATCGTTTTTACCTTGAAGTAATGTTTTTAAGACTTCTGAATGCTGATTTTTTAATTTTTATGTAGGCCAGTCAACACATGCAATGGAAATGTTGAGTTCTTGTGCCATATCTTTTTGCAAGTCTGCCAAAGCTGAATATGCAGTTGCCAAGTCAATTCTGACACTGGCTAAATGGATCCAGGCAGAATGGAAAGAAATTTCAGGGCAGCTGAAACAGGTTTACAGAGCTCAGCAACAGCAGAACTTCTCAGGTCTCTCTACTTTGTCTAAAAACATACTAACATTAATAGAATTGCCATCTGTTAATACAGTGGAAGAAGAGTATCCTAGGATTGAGAGTGAATCTACAGGTAGGATTTCTCTTTTTTACTAGCTTTAAAATAGTAATTTTAGCAATCAGTTTTCTCTTAAAGTTTACAATGTTATGCTGGTTATCATTTGCCATGCAGTGTCTCTATGGAAATTCAATATATTTCCTGTAAATAAGCAGGCATATTTCTATAATATCCGAGGGGGGGGGATATGAATAGCTGGCAGTAAGGTTCTATATCAGATACTTAGAATTCCCCCTCACCTCACATTGGTATAATGTCAGAATATATGTTCATTGTGTTGTAAAGTCTAGAATTTTAATTCCTTGCATTGTTATATAGGGTCTTGATAGGCACGGGGGCTATGTTTTACTTTCATTATGAATCTATATAGCAAGTGTGACTTTCATGGGTGATTTCTTCACTGTTAAACGGGGAATAAAGATCTCTCCTTCATTAATTCTGATCAGATGAGGTTGTGCACACATCATCTACATATTATTTTTGTCAGAATGCTTAAGTTGAATTTGATCATGAGGAATAGCAAATTCATTATGTAAGACATTCTACGATGCATTGACAGATGAAGTTACAAAGCTCAGTATCATGAGAGGCCTTGATGTTTTTATAAGGTGATAAGCATATTTGGGAAGGTAAGTGTTTGATTCTAGCCTTTTAGAAAACTACAACTTAAAAGTATGGCTCATCAAATTATATACTATAATATTACAGAATTTATTGGATTAGAGTAAAATACTAAGGCATGCCATCAGAAGTTTATGAACATAACATTGCTGAGTTCTCTCATTACTTTCTCCTCCTTTGTGACAGTTCATATTGGAGTTGGAGAACCTGACTTCATTTTGGGACAGTTGTATCATCTGTCTTCAGTACAAGCACCTGAAGTAGCAAAATCGTGGGCTGCTTTGGCTAGTTGGGCTTATAGGTGGGGCAGAAAGGTGGTCGACAATGCAAGGTATGTTGAAATGTATATTTCTTATATTTAATGCATTGAAGAATTAGTGATTAAAATGCCTGTGGACATGGTAAAGTTCTGGTTTATTGAGACCTTGTTTATTTTTATAGCCAGGGAGAAGGTGTACGTCTGCTGCCTAGAGAAAAATCTGAAGTTCAAAATCTGCTTCCAGACACTATAACTGAAGAAGAAAAAGAGAGAATATATAGTATTCTTGGACAGGCTGTGTGTCGGCCAGCAGGGATTCAGGTAAGGGAAACATGATACAATGTGTAGAAGAAATGTTGTCTAGATTATTGTTTCAATTTATTGATTTTGAAGGGATCATTTGTATTGTTTAAAACGTTGAATGGGGTTTAGGCAGTTATCCTTTCAAATTAAAACTTAGAATGATAAGATGAAATTGAGTTAGAATGTTTTTGTAAGAATGTATTTAAGAGGCCCTCCCTGGTGGCACAGAGGGTTAAAGCACAGCACTGAGAAGCTAGGGCCACTTCCGCATGAGTTCGATTCCCGCTTGCCCTGGAGGTGACCACATGGCGTGGCAGACCTCTCCTGGCCTGCCCGCTGCTCCCCTCAGCAGTGTACTTCGTAGATCTGCCTGGTCTATTCCCCACTCTGTCTCTGGTGAAGCCTCTCGCCACCCCTGAGCCTCTGGCCTGTACCCCAGTTCTGTATGAACAAATGAATAAATCTTAAAAAAAAAAAAAAGAATGTACTTAAGAAATGAAGTAATTTCTGTAGGGTCCTGTTACGAAAGATGAAGTTGCTTTTATGTAAATTACATTTGTCTTTTAATTGCTCTTCTGACTAGAAATTAGGTTCTTGATATTAGCTTGGGAGCCTTTAAAAAATTGGATAGGGGGCCCTCCCTGGTGGCGCAGCGGGTTAAAGCCCAGCACAAAGAAGCTTAAACCATTTCTGCATGAGTTCGATTCCTGCCTGCCCCGGAGGAGATCCACATGGCGCGGCAGACCTCTCCTGACCCGCCCGCTGCTCCCCTCAGCAGTGTACTTTGTCGATCTGCCTGTTCTGCTCCCCACTCTGTTCCTGGTGAATCCTCTCACCCTCCACATCTCTGGCCTGTACCCCAGTTCTGTATGAATAAATAAATCTTTAAAAAAAAAAATTGGATAGGGAAGAGCTCCACCCAGATATTTTGGATGGGATGGCATGGTGCGTCATGCATTTGTGAGTGTGTAAGCTTACTTACTAGGTGATTCTAATTCATGGCCACAGTTCAAAATCAGTGATCAGAAGGATTTGCTCTCTCTTCTCAAAGTTCTGCCAATTCTGTAACTATTAAATATTTAGTTGCAAGCTTATGAGAGTTTGGGCAATATTAGCTGAGTTACATTAAATTGTATTGTTTCAGTTCTAGCTCCAGACTTTTGCATGTACTGATGTCTTCAGAGCTGGTTTTAAATACACGCACAGTACTATAGAGGATAAGACCTCTTGTGGCTGTCGTTTGTGTATATTTAGCTTTTAAACAGATTATTTCTGCAGGCAGATAATTGTCATGGAAACATTAAAAGCATATATTTAAAAGGCAGTCATTAATCTTTGTTAATGCTTATAGCCTTTTAAATTAACTACATTAGTAAAGATGAAGCATAGTGTATTGATGTTCATTTAGCATGTATAGCAGTAAACATGAGAATACAGTGGAGTAAGTTGAGCCTCTCATACCTAAGAAAAATGATGTTATGTTATAAAAAAAATAAGAGGAAAGTCTTTCATTTCAGTTTGTGTTTAAATATAACCTTTTATTCTCAATTTTCTTCAGGATGAGGATATAACGCTTCAGATAACAGAAAGTGAAGATAATGAGGAAGATGACATGGTTGATGTTATCTGGCGTCAGTTAATATCAAGCTGCCCATGGCTTTCAGAACTTGATGAAAGTGCAACAGAAGGCGTTATCAAAGTGTGGAGGAAGGTCGTAGATAGAATATTCAGCTTGTACAAACTGTCTTGCAGTGCATATTTTACTTTCCTTAAACTCAATGCTGGCCAGGTAGGTAGCTAAGAAAATTTAAACATTTTTGTCCTAGTAGATGAAAACTGCATTCTAAATTTTAAAAATATTTCTTTTTCTATTCTTAGATTCCTTTAGATGAAGATGACCCCAGGTTACATTTAAGTCCTCGAGCAGAGCAGAGCACTGATGATGTGATTGTGATGGCTACGCTGAGACTGCTCCGGCTGCTGGTGAAACATGCGGGTGAACTTCGGCAGTACCTGGAGCACGGCCTGGAAACGACGCCCACTGCTCCGTGGAGAGGTGATAATTTATAGAAGTGTCCCAGGAAAAGTTGTTTCTCAGTAGGATATAGAAGATTAAAAAAAATGTTCCTTTGTGTTTATTTGAATCTGTTACAGAATAGTTGGAGTAAAAATTTCAGCAATAGTTAGATAATGAGTTTTAGATAATCAAAGTGAAGTTTCGAAACCCAGTGAAAAGTCTATGAGATTTCACTCGTGAGAACTGTTTCAGCAGTCAAAGTTTGAGTTTAGTTTATATAGGTAGGAACAGGTGAGTGGTGTCAATATTAATTATTCTTGAGGGGGCTGCTGGTACTCTATAGGCACAAATTTTTCAACTTCTGAGTTAGCCTTGACCTGAAGATGTGTTGATGCTATCTGTGTGTAAAGGAGGGTAAATTACTGGGGTTTCATCACTTCCTGATTTCTAAAGAATGAACTGTACAGACAGAATGACTGGGAGATACCCACTGTTTGTCTTCTTTAAGGGTTCCTTGGTGATTACTGGGGTTTGAAAGGATGATTTACCTGAGTGAAGTTGATTATTGCATAGCTGCTTCACCAAACAGCGTGGAGTCTATTCTGACTTTAAATCCATGCAGATGGTTTTATTGGGGGGTGCAGGGGGGCAGTTTCCCAGAGCACTCACACTATGTTAATGGTTGTAGGACTCCCTAGATTGCTGGTTACAGCAATTTCTTTTACCTTTTGAAAGTGGAAAACTGAAGCTTTTTATATATGAAATGAATTTTGGGGAGAGCAGTAAAAATCAGGTTAAAAAATTTTATACCCTTTGTAAAAATTGTCTGTGTCTGCCTTTTACAGGCATTCACAGAAATTACATTTTGCTAGGACATTTTTTGAATTGCTCTACTGTGGATTAAAGCTCTCTACCCTATCCAGACTTGCAAATCAAGAACTGTGGTGTGTGCTTCTTTATTATCACAGGCAGAAATTAGAGGCCTTTAGTACTGAGATTTTAAATTTAATTCTTTTGTACTTAACTATGTTGACAATTTTTGATGACTTTTAAGCATCTCTTTTTTCACCCTAAAGGGATTATTCCACAGCTTTTCTCACGCTTAAACCATCCTGAAGTGTATGTGCGCCAAAGTATTTGTAACCTTCTCTGTCGTGTGGCTCAGGATTCCCCGCATCTCATCCTGTACCCTGCGATAGTGGGCACCATATCACTTAGTAGTGAGTCGCAGGCTTCAGGTACGGAGCGTAAAAATGCTGCTACTTTAGGTATAAATTCTTACGCAGAGTGTTATTAAATAAATAATTTTAAATTTTAAGTGCTAGCATTAATGGTTTGTAGTTTTTTTCTATTATTATTACTATTTATTAAGGGAGTTAATTAGTGCATGCCTGGCACTGAGACAAGTGCTTCACTTCCTGGCCTTCAGTCCCAAAAATGACCCACCAGGCCTTGGAGAAATAATAGCTCTCTCGGGTTCATTGAGCTGAGTAATTGGCAGATAAGGACTAAAACAATGTGTTAGATTTTAGCTGAAAAAATGTTTTTATTTGTTGAAAATCCCTTATTCTCTTTATTGCTTATAACATTAATAATGAAAACAGAACTCTTGTCACAAAGACAAGTTATGATCTGTGGTCAGTTTAATGCACAGAAGGTACTTTTTAAAGAGTGCTTTGGAGTTGAATAGATAATGTTTCCTCTGAACTCAACAAGTGCACACGGAAGAAGCATCCAAAGAATACCTTATGCTCCTATTTCATTACAGGAAATAAATTTTCTTCTGCAATTCCAACTTTACTTGGCAATATTCAAGGAGAAGAATTGCTCGTTTCTGAATGTGAGGGAGGAAGTCCTCCTGCTTCTCAGGATAGCAGTAAGGATGAACCCAAAAGTGGATTAAATGAAGACCAAGCTATGATGCAAGACTGTTACAGCAAAATTGTAGATAAGCTGTCTTCTGCAAACCCAACTATGGTGTTACAGGTAAAAAAGCAACAATAATAAAACCTAGTAGCTGTTTAAAAAAGCAATTTTTATTCTCTCTTACCTTACCTCCTTCCTTGCCTCACCCAGTCCGATAGCAGAATTCATAAAAACTATCTGGAAATATTTGAGGGACAACAATTTAGAGTAATCAAAAGTAATTTTACAAATCAGTATCATTAGCTAAGATCATCAGTTTGGCTCCTGTAACTGAGTAATGAACAAAGGAAGCGCCCGTTTAACTTAGAGTTTGTAGTATTTGCAGAGTTGTGCTGCGTGTAGATTTGTGGGTGAGGAATTTGGATGTGATGTGTTCGCAGGTTCAGATGCTTGTGGCTGAGCTGCGCAGGGTCACTGTTCTCTGGGACGAGCTCTGGTTGGGAGTTTTGTTACAGCAGCACATGTATGTCCTAAGACGAATTCAGCAGCTTGAAGATGAGGTGAAAAGAGTCCAAAACAACAACACTCTACGCAAGTATGTTCACACACACTTTACCCAGAAACAAAGCTCTTTTTAAATAAGTGTACAGGCCACCTGCATTAAACAGCTGCATTAAGTGCTGTGAAGCCATCATTACTACCCACTTCCAGGACTTACTCATCTTCCCAGACATTTGTTACACTTTTTATGTGCTGAGTTTTGTTTTGTTTTTTATCATCCTGTGTTTGTGAGCTGCTGTGCTATCCTCCATACTATTTACATACACCTGTTACATTTAAATTCTGTTTGTGTAAAACTCTATCTCCCTGGTTAGAGAAGAGAAAATTGCAATTATGCGAGAGAAGCACACAGCTTTGATGAAGCCCATTGTGTTTGCTTTGGAGCACGTGAGGAGCATCACAGCAGCCCCCGCAGAAACACCTCATGAAAAGTGGTTTCAGGATAACTATGGTGATGCAATTGAAAATGCCCTGGAAAAACTGAAGACACCATCAAACCCTGCAAAGCCTGGAAGCAGCTGGATTCCATTTAAAGAGGTACAGAAGAATCTCAAAAATGCAACTAAAATGAGAAATTCCCTATAGTATACAAAATTTAAATAAGGGTATTCTCCTTTCTTGAAACACAAGATTTTGTAAGCCCATGAAAGTCACCCTGTGACCAGTCATTTATAAGCAGAATGGGAAATGATGTTTTCAATTTGAAAATTTGAGGATGAGTTTGCCTTAGGATTGTGAGCTCTCATCTGTAGAGGTTTCATAGCAGGGAAGGATGTATTGTAAGAAATCAAACTAGGAAGGTGTGCTGGTCCTAAGCTTAATATTGATTGCTACATTTTCATAAAAGATGAAATTTTAATGTACTTGTGTTTTCTATGGAGTATAGTGTTTATTTTTTTTTAAAGTTTATTTATGCATATAGAACTGGTGCACAAGGCAGAGGTTAGGGGAGATGGAAGGGGTGAAAGGAATCACCAGAGATAGTGGGGAGCAGAATAGGAGGACCGACTGAAATACCCCTGAAGGTATTTCAGCAGGGGAGGTCAGAAGTCTGCCAAGCCACGTAGGTCACCACCCTGGCCAGGGATTGAACTTGTGCTGCAGTGACTGCCAATAGTTTCAAAATGCTGATAAAAGCCCTTATACCACCAGGGAGGCCCCAGGAGAATACCTTTAAAAGCGTCTATGTGTGTGTAAAGTAAATCATACAGGAAAATTTTATGATTATACGTTAAAGAATAATTTTAAAAGTTAATTTTTCCCTTTAACGTTGTGATGCAGTTTAAAAAAGTGGAATCAGGGGCCCTCCCTGGTGGTGCAGCGGGTTAAAGCACAGCACTAAAAAACTAACGCCACTTCAGCGTGAGTTCGATCCCTGCCTGCCCTGCAGGTGACCACATGGCGCGGCAGACCTCTCATGATCTGCCCGCCGCTCCCCTCAGCAGTGTACTTCATCAGTCTGCCTGTTCTGCTCCCCACTCTGTCTCTGGTGAATCCTCTCATCACCCCCCCTGCACCTCTGGCATGTACCCCAGTTCTGTGTGCACAAATAAATAAATCTTTTTAAAAAAGTGGAATCAGTGAAACAAAACTGGGAGTCGCAGGTGTCCCTGCCTGAGAGTACCTCTATCTCCACAACTATGACTGAATTTTGAGATAATCATTACCAGGTTTTTTAAAACTTTTTTTTTTTTTTAAGATTTATTTATTTGTGCATACAGAACTGGGGTACAGGCCAGAGGTACAGGGGCGGCAAGAGGCTTCACCAGAAACAGAGTGGGGAGCAGAACAGGCAGATCGAGGAAGTACACTGCTGAGGGGAGCAGTGGGCGTGTCAGGAGAGGTCTGCCGCGCCATGTGGTCACCCCCGGGGCAGGCGGGAGTCGAACTCATGCGGAAGTGGCTTTAGCTTCTTAGTGCTGTGCTTTAACCCGCTGCTCACCAGGGAGGGCCTAAAACTTTTTTTAAAAAACGTTTTTTAAAAGCTTTCTTCTTTTTCTAGGGTGTGTCTATCTGACAGTAAACAGCTGTGTCTTTTGCTCTGTTGCAAGGTCTGAATTGTTATATTTTGGCCTTCCTTGGACAGAGTAGGAGGAGAGGAGACAGTGGGACTTCAAAGTAGAAATTGTCATTACACCATTGTTTATCCTCTGAGGATGGCCCAAATATGTATTCGCAAATTATATGTAGAAACTAGAACATTAGCTAATTTTATTGGTACTTATGAATGAATGTGGGAGAAAATAAGTGTGGTAATACTATAAACTCCTCCTCCCCCACCCACCCCAATACAGATAATGCTGAGTTTGCAGCAGAGAGCACAGAAACGTGCAAGTTACATCTTGCGTCTTGAAGAGATCAGTCCATGGCTGGCTGCCATGACTAATACTGAAATTGCCCTTCCTGGAGAGGTCTCAGCCAGAGACACTGTCACAATCCACAGTGTGGGCGGAACCATCACAATCTTACCTACCAAAACCAAGCCAAAGAAACTCCTCTTTCTTGGATCAGATGGGAAGAGCTATCCTTACCTTTTCAAAGGTAGAAGTTTAAAGAACATTAGTCTGATTATTAATACTTTGTGTGTGTGTATGGTAGGAGGGGATTGTGTTAGGTGAAGTTCTGATCGTCATAAACAGCCTGAAGCACCCTGGTCTTACGTGATTTTGAATGGAAGTGCTTAGAGCCTTTGTAGCAGGAACTCATGCTTGTGAACTTAATGTGCAGAACAACTGAGGTACTAGTAGTAACGCTAGTGTCTAATAGCTTGTGACTGAACAGAATGTTCTCATTGTGTCTCTTGGCTCTTAACTGGTTTTGCGAATTGAGCCCATAAAAAGTGGTGTGCCTCCATCCCATTCCGCCACACCCCACCCCTTCAGTCAGGTACTCTAGCAGCTCTAATTTTGTTTCCGTAGGACTGGAGGATTTACATCTAGATGAACGAATAATGCAGTTCCTGTCGATTGTGAACACCATGTTTGCTACCATCAATCGCCAGGAAACACCCCGTTTCCATGCCCGGCACTACTCTGTAACACCACTTGGAACACGGTCGGGGCTTATCCAGTGGGTGGATGGAGCCACGCCCTTATTTGGACTTTACAAACGATGGCAACAGCGAGAAGCTGCCTTACAGGCACAAAAGGTCAGTAAAAATTGCAGTGTAAATGTACTTCTGTTTGACTGTTCATAAGCATATGTTGGCCTATTCTGTTGTAAGTGAAATATTTATAGACTTACTGCACTTAAAGCATTTTGGAAAGCTTATAAGGGTTGATGAAGTAAAAACTTGGTATCTAGAAAATGTTGAGACACATTTTATAAAAGTGAAGCTTTAAGAGGCAGAAACAATAACTTTGTTTAACAGATGAGCGCACAGGTATTGTGATAATTGCATGTCTTATTTTTTTTAAGTTTTATTTATGCATAACGGAACTGAGGTACAGGCCAGAGGTGCGGGGGTTGAGAGGATTCCCCAGAGACAGAGTGGGGAGCAGATAAGGCCAATTGCGTGAAACACTGCTGAGGGGAGCAGTGGGCGAGAAAGGAGCTATTCACCACTCGCCCCCAACCCCCTGTGGCTTTGGACAGCTTCGTTGTGCTGTGCTTTAACCCGTTGTTCACCAGGCAGGCCCGCTATTCATGTCTTAAAACTTCTGTTGGGCTTACTGGGGTCTTTTTTTTTTTTTTTTAAAGTTTGTACAGACTGCTTTAAAACTCATGTTCTTATGATAAGTGTAAATAAGAAAAAATTTTTTCGTTAATCTCTGGGATATCTTATTTTGTACTTGTGAAACTTATACTTTGATTCAGACTGAAAATTTTATTAGAGACACTATTTTAAAGATTTAGCTATTTATGCATATAGATAACTGGCATACAGGCACGGTGAGAGGACTTACAGAGACAAGAGTGGGGAGCAGAACAGGCAGATTGATGAAGTACATTGCTGAGGGGAGAAGCAGGCGAGACAGGAGAGGTCTGCTGCACCATGCAGGTCACCCCTGGGGCTGGGATCGAACTTGCACTAAAGTGGCTTCACAGTACTACACTGTTAAAACCTTTGTGCCATCAGGGAGGGCCCTTATTAGAGACACTGTAGCTAAGTCTCTTTTAAGAGTAGGTATGTGCTAACTGATACAGCTATGCAGGTCAGTTTCATACAGTTTGGGCTTCAGGCTCCCACATTTAACCAACCGAAATGATACTGCCCCACTGCTCCCCTCAGCAGTGTATTTCAGTCACGCCACCTGTTCTGCTCCCTATTCTGTCTTTGGTGGATCCTCTCACCCGCCACACCTCTGGTCTTTACCCCAGTTCTGTATGCATAAATATTTTTTTAAAAAAGGAGAAAAAGGTAAGTATCAGGGTTGACCAGTTTTTCAATAAAGTATTAGAAAGGTAGAAAGATGGTAAGAAAGATGTGTAGTCTAAAAGAATTTACTATTTGGTGCCTGAAATTTAGCTGGATAGGTGGAGAATGCCACTGAACAGTCCATTTTTAAAATACCACATTTTGGAGGTCCTCCCTGGTGGCACAACATGTTAAAGTGCAGAAAGCTATGAAGGTCTCTGTAGCCACTGCATCATAAGGGAAGATCCTCAGCCAGGGAGCTGACCCACAGGGTGCAGCAGACCTCTCCTGTCTTGCCTGCTGCTCCCCTCTCTAGTGTTATTTCAGTAGATCTCCCTGTTCTGCTACCTGCTTTGGTGAATTCTCTCACTCCCTACACCTCTGGCCTGTACTCCAGTTCTTGTATGCAAAAATAAATCTTTTTTAAAAATAGATTTGGAATAATCTTTATCCCTACTTAAGTAAAATTGATCTTTATGAAATTTAAATCCTTTAAAATGTCTTTTTAAGGCTCAAGATTCCTACCAAACTCAGAATCCTGGAATTGTACCCCGACCTAGTGAACTTTACTATAGTAAAATTGGTCCTGCTTTGAAAGCAGTTGGACTTAGTCTGGATGTGTCCAGACGGGATTGGCCTCTTCATGTAATGAAGGCAGTGTTAGAGGAACTGATGGAGGCCACACCCCCAAATCTCCTTGCTAAAGAACTTTGGTCATCTTGCACCACACCTGATGAATGGTGGAGAGTCACACAGGTAAGCATTTCATCTTGACCCGTAAGCGGTATATTGTCTTTTCCTAGTTTCTTCGTCTTGTCTTGTCATCTTCTATTATTGCCCCCTGCCTTGCTTGAAACTTGTATTTGTTTTTATTCCCCCCACATTTAAAGAGCAGATTTATTAGAGAAAGGGGACGGAAGAATAAAGGACACTTGCATAGATAGAAGCATGCAAGAAGAGCTGCAGAGACTTATACTTGACTTTTGCAGTATTAGGCATGAATATAACTGAGAACAGAATGGAGGGGGCTGTGGCTGAAATGAAAAAGAATAAAAATTTTAGATAGCGAAAACCGATAAGACCAAAGAATAGTTGTTTTAAGTTCAGCATTCTGATTATAACTAAGTAGGACCAGAACAGACCACAGTGTTGTATGTATCTACTCAGTGCAGAGTCTCTCCGACAACATGCAGCAGCCTCCAGGAGTGCTGTCTGTTCTTTCAGAAATCAGCAATAGGATTACAGTCTTAGAAATTTTAGAGCAGCAACTTCATTTGGGAGGGAAATTTGCTAATGATGCTGAGCTTGCTACCCCCTCTTCTTCTTTATTTAGTCTTATGCCAGATCTACTGCAGTCATGTCTATGGTTGGATACATCATTGGCCTTGGAGATAGACATCTGGATAATGTTCTTATAGATATGACAACTGGAGAGGTGGTTCACATAGATTACAATGTTTGCTTCGAGAAAGGTAAAATTAATGTGGATTTTTACATTTAAATGAGGACAAGGGTCTTTTTTTTTTTTTTTTGGCTGAAAGGACAAAAATACAATTTGTCTTTTCAAGGTAAAAGCCTTAGAGTTCCTGAGAAAGTACCTTTTCGAATGACACAGAACATTGAAACAGCTTTGGGTGTAACTGGAGTAGAAGGTGTTTTTAGGCTTTCGTGTGAGCAGGTATGCTGTTTTCTTACACCTTCTCGTAAGGTATGCTGTTTTCTCTTACACTTTTTCGTGTACCTGTTAAATTAACAAAACCCATGAAATGCAAAACTAAAGTACATTTTAATGAGAAAACTTGTGACAAAACTCAAGACTCTTTTGAAAACAGGTACTGCACATTATGCGGCGTGGCAGGGAGACCCTGCTGACCTTGTTGGAGGCCTTTGTGTACGACCCCCTGGTGGACTGGACAGCTGGGGGCGAGGCTGGCTTTGCTGGTGCTGTCTATGGTGGGGGTGGCCAGCAGGCCGAGAGCAAACAGAGCAAGAGAGAGATGGAACGCGAAATCACCCGCAGTCTCTTTTCATCCAGAGTGGCTGAAATTAAGGTGAAGCCAGTGGCATTGTCATTGTCATCTTTTTTTAAGACAGTTAACAAAAAACATTAAAAAATTGAAGATTTTTCATTAGATTTTCTTTTTTTTCCTGCAAGACTGTGTAATGCAATGGCAGTGAAATGGGACTATTGGCTCTACAAGGATGCAGTCACCATTCATAATCACTGGGTGAATTAATGTTTTGAAAAAACTTAATCTTCTTAAGTAGGTTGAAATGTATTTCCCAGTGATTTTTGTTAAGGTTTCTTTAATTGAATAATCTCCTTTGGTCGTCATTTAAATTCCATGGTAGCCAGTGATGCAACTTTGTTTTGTGTGGTGGTGGTAACTACATAGTATCATGGGGTTGACAGTTTATGGTTTTGTGAACTTGACTACATTAATTATCTTGTAAAATGTGGGTGATGCCTCACCTCCTTCAGGTTTATGTTAAAATGTGAATGAATGATGCATGTAAGATGTACTGACAGGATGCTTCTGACAGACACTATCACATCTCATAGTTAAGCCTGCAATTATCTCCCTTATATCTTTTTACAGGTGAATTGGTTTAAGAATAGGGATGAGATGCTAATTGTGCTTCCTAAGCTGGACAGCAGCTTAGATGAGTACCTAAGCTTGCAAGAGCAACTGACAGATGTTGAGAAACTACAGGGCAAGTTGCTGGAAGAAATAGAGTTTCTGGAAGGAGCAGAAGGAGTAGACCATCCTTCCCACACTCTGCAACACAGGTTTGAACAATGTTGTATACTCTTCTTTCTAAGTAGATAATCACTAAGGAGAATTTTAATATTTTTGTAAATACTGTTGACATGAATTAGCTTATTTCTATGACTCAGATGTAATAAAAGTTATTCCAGAGACATAGCTGAAAAGTGTTAATAGACAAGACTCAGGAAAATGTTCTGCTTTATTATATTTAATTGTTTGAGTAATTATAAAGATAGGTGAATCAGGTTGTTAGAAGAGAGCTTGAATTCAGAACACCTAGACTTTGGCTTTCTCTCTAGTTGTATCTGAATCTTTATTCATTTGGACAATGATTATAATTTAGTCCACTATGCTATTTTGTTTTTTTTTTTTT